CGTCCTGATCGTCACACGGAGGTTTCCCCCCCTCGCTTGCATGCGTAACCGCCTCTCCGAATCCAGTCGCGGTTTCTGTGCCAGGACCTCGCCGCCTGGATCATCTTCCTCCGCCGGGGAGCGCACGACTCTGCGCCGCTGAGAGAGGAGGTCTTTTTCATCTCCAGAGAAAAGAGGAGAAGCGAGGCTGGGATTTCCTCCTATCATTTCACATTTGACAGATCATCTTCTAGCGTGTGTGTGTGTGTGAGAGAGGGGGCTTTTTTTTCTCCCTGTGTGTGTGTATGTGTGTGCGTGTGTGTGTGTGTTGGGTGGAGTCAACCCGGAATTCTCTAAATTGGAAATCCGCTGGCACATTTCAGGTAGGTCGGCGGCTGCAGCATCCATTAATCAGATCATATTAGCGAGCGATGCAGGGAATCAGATTTTATTTTTCATTATTTTATTCTTCTAATGAAAAAAAAAATCCTGCTGCTCCTCCACGGTGCTGTTTTGTGAGCAGGGCCGCAGCTCGCACGCTGCAGGGTCTCCAACCATTTCTCCCCCCTTTAGAAATAAGAGGGTTTGACTGATGCGCAGAGACGAACAGCTTCGTTACATTAGGATAAAACGCGGATGAGAGAACGAGAAGCAGCCGCAGAAGGGTGCACGGATCGAGGGGGGAGACCTGAGTGGAGGGGGGAGGCCTGGTTGTATGGCTTCCTGCAAGGGTGTGATGAAAATCCATAAATTGGCTTTAGATGCTCGAAGAGTGGGATTCAAACGCTTGCATTCTCCTTTACAAAACATCTGCTTTGTATTCAGGTCTATTTCAGTGCAGTCACAGCTGGATTAGATGCAATGGAAATAAAATAAATTAACAAATTCAGGCTTAAGCAATGAATCCACATAGATTCTCCTCGGTGAGACGCTTCGCGTGTTCATGCATGTTGTTCTAAAAGCTCACAGATTTGTTCAGGCTGGATGAGGAGGAGTGATGGGTGGCGCGGGCCCTGAAATCTGCAGAAATGTGTTTGCTGAATAGAAACTGTAATTGCATTTGTGCACATTGTGGAAGACAGTTGAGAAAATGAGGAGTGGACAGATGGGAGGGAAATGTGCTGGTTTGATTCCCTTCATTTGATTCCATAACATCCCCCCCTCCCCTCACACATGTCTGCTGAAGTGTCCCTGAGCAAAGCACTGTGGCCCTGAGGTGCAACACACAGCTCCAAAGAGGTGTGTGTGTGTGTTTGTTTTCCTGCTTTGTTGCCATCTCCTCCAGCCTCTGGCTGTACATCATAACTTTGATTTTGAAAATAAAGAAAGTAATCGTGCATGAACACCGGCAGATAAAATGACAAACCCTCAGTCCAGCTGCTGCGTTCAAAAGCTCTTTCTTCTAAATAAAATGGAGCTCGGCTGCTGTAAAACACATTCCCTGTGCAAAATGGGTCCTTTTGAATTTGAAGAAGGAAGAAATAAAAGGTTGTGGCAGAGAATGGCTGATCCAAGGGGGCCAGATACATCAGCCCCCGGGGGGGCTGCTTTTCTGGGTTTAATGTGATGTTCATTGACTCTATGTGTCACCCCCCACCTCCCCTCACCCATTGTGCCTCTGTGTGGCGTCACAGGAGCATCATGAAGGACGGTATCGCCAACAACAGCACGGCCAGCATCTCCCAAGCCAGGAAAGCTGTGGAGCAGCTGAAGATGGAGGCCTGCATGGATAGGATAAAGGTAAGAGGGCTTTTATTTTGTTAACTGTGGCTTTGCTTGTGAATTTACAGATCGCCTGGTGCATGTGTTATTATTATTATTCCTAAAGTCAAAAGTCACTCCACTTGATACAAACCTTGATTTAATAAATAGATTCAACCATTTTTAATTCATCTGATTGACAGATAAAAATAAATCGTTCATGTTTTCCTGGACGAGGCCAGCTAGCTGCTTGCAAATGCAGGAGTGTTCCAAGGTTCTTTAGGGGCCTTAGGATAAAGGAACCTGGGGGCCCTCTATACCCCTCCCAAGTAACAAACCACATCCTTCTGATCTCCAGATGATTCTTTTCTTATCAAAATTGTAAACAAAATAAAATACAATTGCAAAGCTTTTAGTAGAAACATAGTAGCATGGTTCCTTGTCAAGGGTTTTCCAACCATGGTGTCTTTACAGTCTTTTGTAAATAGCAGATCATAGAATTTAAGTTTGGTTTTGTTGTGAATTAATCAGCTATTACCGGCTTTGCTTACCCTCATCTAACTATTGTCTAAAAAGCCTTCATTTAGAATGAAATGTATATGTTTGTCTACTCTGCTGGATGGACTGAGAGAGTAGCAGTGAACCATCACTATTGTCTCGTATCTGTCCTTCATGGATGATGTTCTTTAAAACAGGACTGATCCTCTATGACATTAACACTACAGTTAGATATTGTCTTTTTATTCTCACTCATTCTTTTCCCTTGACACTTGACACCATTTATCAGATTGTGATTCAGCTCCCTCTGGGGTTTTTACATATATTTAATGTTTTTTCTTTACTCTCTTTAACATTGCAACATTGAAACATTTTTCCAAAAATCAGGCACATTATATCTCTATAGGAGGGTGAAATCTGGTGAAGCTTGATTGAATCGATTGGGCCTTGAAGGAGGTATGTGCTCCCCTGAATGCTATTCTAGTTTATTCCAGCAGTCGACTTCATGATGACAGCAAAATGAATGTTCAGGGCAGCTTTTCTGGACAGGAGTCAAGTGAAGCCTAAGTTCACCCCGCGGGCGCCTGAGTGTAGCGTCTGTGAGGGATGAACCCAGAGGCTGAGGTTCATCCCTGTGATTTGTGACCACTTCTGACTTCGGTTATCCTTCAGGTTGTGTCATAGTTTCTGAGGGAGATTGTAAAAGCATGTCCTCGGTCATCATCTTTTCATGCAGGATTTCTTCTCATCTCATGTTCCCATTGATTGAGGCTTCAGCAGACTCCTGAGTTTAAGGTTAAGGCTCATCACCTTAAACTCCTGACTTTTATTGTGAAGGAGCACAGTCCTCATGAAGTCCTCATCAAACAACTCCTGGTTAGATGACTTTTAAGCCCTGTATATTCTTTATGGCTGAGGTCAGTCACAATCATTGTCGTAACACAGTGTAGATAAGTTCTATACAACAGAATCCTTCATAGAGGTCATTGTTTTTACTGCATTGTGTGCTCACCCCAGTAAAAAGCTTATTTTATTTCTTACTCTATGAACCCGTTTGTGGAGTGTGAAGGGATGCCTCCTCTCCATCGTTTTCATCAACCACCTCTTGTGCAACTTAAAAGGCCATGTCATCATCTCATCCGGTATGCTCCTCATGTGCTCAGGGAATGATTGCCCCACAGCCCCGAGGCTGTTTGCTCAGCATTATGGCCGAGGCCTGGACGCCTGCTGTACACCATCATCCCCGCTAAACACAACGAAGGCTCCTTCCAAGGGAACCTCGTCTTTTTGAAAATCAAAGTGATTAACACCACGAGTTGAATTCAGGGTTTGGAAGTTGAAGCTACAGAATACTGATTTAAAGAGGCAATTAAGTTTTTCATTTGTTTAAATGTGTGCAAAGTCATTATATGTTCACACAACGGTGACTGAGCCTGTTTAAATATGTATATATTTATAGTGTTATGATCTGGGTGTCTGTGGCCACATTCCCTAGAAAGACAATGCTGTATTAAAAGAGACACATTATGTAAACATATTTCCTTATTATTTTTCTTTCCTCTTGTGTTTTAAAGGTGTTTTGTAAAGTTAGTAGTGCAGCAGACACATCTGCACCACTGTGAGTTCATGGGACATATCGCGTTTGGACAGGGGGTCATTCAAATGTCTAAAGCAATTTAGTGCAAATTAACAAATGTGAGCATGTTAATATGTTAAAACAGTTGACTATAAAGATAAAATATCCCAGATACATGCACTATGGACGTCATTTGGAGCCAGAGTCAGCGCAGTAATGATTGTGGGACACAGTGGCGAAGTCCTGTCGATGTGTGGCCTTGATCAATTCTGATTGAATCTCAGCCGTCAATCATGACATTTCACTCTGTTTTTATATCATCAAATAACTGATTAAAACAACGTACTGGAAGAATCAACACTTGAACAAACATCAGTGTGAGAAGAACAACCTAAAATGACAGAAACCATTGTATTTTTTAAGTTTGGTCCACGTCCCATCCTCTCACTTTCTCTATGATGGTTTTGAATGTTGGTGAATATGAATGCGCCCAAGTCAAAGTAATAGGTTTTATTATTGACACCGATCTTATCATACTTTAAATTCTGAAATCATATCTGGTGAAGATGTTTTTTGTTAAACAGAAATGACATATTTTGCATTTCCAGGTTGCTTAGAATGCTTTGCTAGATTTAGTGGTGATAGGAAACAACTGACAAAAGAAAAAACATCTGTATTTGTCACAAGGAAAGAAGAATGGCACCGGCATCAAACCTAACTTAGCGATTGAATTGCACTTGAAGTTGCAAAATATTAATTGGGAACAAAAGGAGAGCGGGCACCTGCTGTCTCACACGTAATAGTGTTCAAGGTAAAATAACTGGTTTGTGGTTGTGCTGGAGGTGGAGGATAAATGAGTGTAAAATGGAGTCATCTAAATTGAGCTAAGACGGGTTTAAATCACAAAATGTTGGAATAAATCTGACTTGTCAGTTTTATTGTCACCTTAGCATCTGATGGAAAAAGACGCATCAGGCCTGAATGTAAATGAATTTTAAATGTCACAGTCGATCTTTATCCGAAAGTCTCTCACTCAGTCTGTCTGAGAAAAAATGTATGTTCTGAATAATTGACTTCTGCTGTTTGTTCTGAAAAGCTTTTAACACCGACAGACAGAGGAGTTGGTGTGAAACAAAATAGTAACTGTTTCAGCAGCAGCACGATTTCACATCGCTGCTATTTTCTCAGCAGCTTTCATATGATTGATAGGTCTGCAGTTGTTTGTGCTTTAAAAGCACTCGACACATCAGATGAGGAGATCCGAGTAATTCTTCTTTTAACTGCCCCCCCCCCCAAAAAAAGGAGCCTATGAAGTAGCGCGTGGCTGCGGAAGAAAGCAGAGAAAAGTGCAGAGATAGAGGAGCAGAGAGAAAAGTTGCCCGTGTCTGACATTCCTTTCAATTTAATTAAGGGATGTGACGAGTGTGTATCTGTGAGTGGAGTGGTCTCTGTGCTGCTGATTGAGGGATCACCATGTTCTCATTAATTGCTCAATCAGCCAAAGGAATGTGATCTGTGCTAATTAGAAGGACTCTCCCTCCATCATGGGGCTGCAGTGTAATTACAGTCAGTCTGGGCCTAATGACACACACCGTGCAGTACCACTCTTTGTCCTGTGGGGCTCCCGTTTTTCTGCAGACACCCTGGCTGCAGTGATTTGATGATACACTTGTTACTTTGATGATGATCATGAGAATAAGTTATTTACTTAAAGGTTTGTCAATGTTTCGCTTTGTGTCGGCTAGAGACCGAGTAGAGGAAGTAGATAACCAACCATCAAAGGATCTCCTTTGAGTAATTTTTTATATGATTAGCCTCTAGAATGATTAAGACCTTAACAAAATTGAGTTGGATCAGAAATGATTTGAAACTGATTTGTTAAAACCTGGAGCCTAATTCATGGGGGGGGACAATCCAATTGGAACAATCCCAATTATCAAACACTAACTTTTTCACCTCAGTTTTAATGAAGCTATCATATAAATGTCATATAAATAGTGAAATGTTCGCAGGTATATTAAATGATTATTCATTGTAAGTAATGATTGAGTTTATGACCATGCTGTTAGACCTCACCCCTCCCGCTGTTCAACCCAGCGTTTCACCCTTGGTTATAACGTGAGCTCCTAAATAATGACTTGAGTATATTCTTGTATCCCAGGTAATTAACATTGTATATTTATTTCTTCTCTTGAATGTAAAACCACACCCACCAGTGTTGTTCAGAGTTCCTTCAGTGTTGTAAACCATTTGTAAAACAACCTCTTGCCAAATTTAGCATAGAAAATGTCCCCTTTATTTCCTGATGTGTGAGGTGTATTAAGCAATCGCTGACTTATCAGTTTTTATTAGCAACAGGGGATTTACAAAAACACAGACAGGACCAGTGTGAGCGTGTGACATAAATAATAAAGACGCATTAGCTGGAGGAAGGTGACTGCAGCCGTTAGAGCGGAGAGCCAACAGAATCATGCAGAGAGGTAATCATGTGTGAGAATACTGCTGTGTCATTTTTTTTTGGTCACGGAAATTAATGTGTTGGATGATCGCTTATAACTAAACACAGGAATTCCATTAGGTTTGTTTCTAATTGAGGATGTGGACGGTCAGTATTTACTGGTGCCAGTGAAGCAGCAGAGGCACCATTATGTATTTGTAGTGTAAAGAGGACTTTGACTTTGGATGGGGTCATTCAAACGAGTGAAGAACTTAAAAGCAAATTAATAAATGCAGAGGGCAAACATGCTAAACCATAGACTGTGGCTGTGGGCTATATAAAGATGGACGACATGTCTCCACTTCCTCCTTTTGCACGAACCTGAAGCCAAAATATGCCAGATAGGGGGCCACCCTTTTGGACTTCATTTGGAGCCTGCGAGTCCTGCCAATACTTTTGACCAATCATGTGTTAGTCTCAGCTTTCAATCATTACATGTCACCCTGTCTTTACAGCATCAAATAGATACTTAAAACCAAATTTTGGAAAAAATAACACTTGAGAATGACAGAAACCATTTTTGAGAAGAATTTATTTGACGTGTACTTTGACTTTGAAGTTTGGCCCATGTCTCATCTGCTAACATGGAGAATTTATGACCTTTACTGCGGACAGATGATTTCATTATGTATACAAACTATGTGCTCAACCAGGACAGTGAACACAGCAAACATACCTGCTAGACAACAGCACATTAGTATTGTCACTTATTAGCGTATTCGCATGCTGATGTTAGCACCGCAGAACACGAACACTGCTGTGCGTATGGTTACACCCTCACTGAGCATCTGGCTAGTTTCTACTTGTTTGAGTCTGGCTGGCTCAGCAGGAGGCAGCTCGGTGGTTTATAAACACTTGGCCCCTGAAAATGAAGCAGTGACCCCTCATCACAGGTGATGTCCTCAGTGTGGACGTCTGAACTGAATCATGTCTCCCTCTGACACTGATCCATTTGAAGGATTTTTAGATACTCTGAAGAGCTGACAGTGATCTTGAAAGCGATTTGAGATACGGCCGTTATTTGAAATTCATGACTGTCCATTTTTACAATACTGAAATATAATTTTTTCTCGTACTTATACTCAGGTTTTTTTTTAGGCTTCTTATGAGAATTACAAACCCCGGGTGGGCAACTGAGGTAAAATGGATAGAGAAGAAGTATGATTTGGACATTTGGCTATCACGCTTGAGCCTGAGTTTATTCTGAGTTTATTCCCCTTATTTATTGCTCCATGGTGGAAAATAGTCCCTAATAAATGCACTGATAACTCTTTTTTGAGTTATATCTATGAAAACTACAATTTCCATCTGGTTTTGGACATTTCTGAACCTTTTTTAAATTGTATTTTGAGCTGTTTAATAGATTTGCTTCTTTAATGGGCTAAAGACATCAGAAAGACAGAGACTGAAGAATGCATCCATTTTTATGTCTTTAAATTGGATTTGTGGACAAACAACAAAAATATAGAATAAAACCAGCCATGTTTTCAATAAATCTCAGCACCTGATATTAATCCTAAACCTTTAGACTGGATAGGCTTAGGCTGGGACGATAAAACTGTAATAATCCCTGTTTAAGAGGAAATGTGATGGGCAGCGTGATGGATTTTGTGCGTTATATTCTTCCATGAGAGCAGCAGTGGGTGAGGTGAAGTGGCAGCAAGAAGATCAGATGGCTCAGTCCTGCACGTAGATCCCTGAGCCCTGACCGTCCCTCTGATGCAGCTGCTCCTCTCCATTTGCAGCCTCCCCTCCCCGTTACCTCCCGTCTCAGCTCCCAAGTGAAGCCTGCATTCGCGTACACAGTCACTCTGTAAAATGTTCAGTCTGTTTGACTCTGTTTGAAAATGATAAAATGCAAGTTTTCCCACAGAGGCAGGATGTGATTTGTTAGTCCCATCCTCTTCATCGAATATTAAAACTCGTCAGTCATCCTGATGAGCCGTCGTCTCCTGCTGATGTCACATCATCAGTACAGTCACCACAGGCACTGACAAATCACCAATACATACTATATGCAACTTCAAAGAAACAGCAGCCATGCAGCATTCATCCAAACTTTGAATGGGTTTCATGCGGATCAGGTTTATCTACCTGAACAAACACACAGGGAGCAGCAGAACATAGTGTACGTTGAAATAAAAACACACATCACACAACACTCTTCTCCAATGTACTGTGTTTTATTCACCTCGTCACATTTTTGATCAGGTTGGTGTCTGCCATTTTTTCCAGTTTTATTATTGACTGAGCCTATACATAAAAACACACACCCAACTTTTCAAAAGCTCTCTTCACGAATTATAATTCATCTAAACCCATGAGTGGTTAAAAAGTGATTTTAGAGATATGCTAGTTCCATAGCAGCGTTGATCACTCCACCACTTTGGGCCACACTGAAGAATCTTAACAACATTTGGATGGATTCCCATCAATACTTTCAGGACATTCATGGTCATCAGACCAATCAAATCTAAGGACATTCCCATCAGTCTCTGCTACACTTTGTGTTCAGGGCTATTAGGAAAAGGTTAGCAGGCTAATACACTAAACCAAAAATGATTAACAGACTAGAGTAAACATGTAACTAGCTGGCTAGCATTAGTATTCAGCTCATTGCACTACTGCACAGCTTAATAGAGCTACTAGTGTGGCTGTCTTGTGCAATACAAAACCACTTTCAAAAAACAGCATCTTCAAGTCTTATCCACTTTGTAACACTGATGCTAACCCCATCTAGAAACATCACCTCTAAACAATGACATTTACTCTTCAATTAATAGTTTTTCAGTACAAATTTTATCGAGTGAACTCGTCAATATGACTTTTTATCATTACTTAAAAAACATTCAAAATCCAATATACTTCCGCGAATAAGCAGCTCCTTTAAATCTCTCTCTCTCTTCGACAGATACTTCTTCATGGATTACATTTTTAAAGTGATTATTATTGACTATTAAATGAGGTGATGTTGAAATGACAGAAGATGACGCAAGGGAGGTGCAACGGACGTTCCTGGTTCGCTCTGAACTTTGAAGTCATACAAGGATAAGAACACTGGGAACAAATTCAGACACCACCTTATGAAGGCAGGATAGCTGCAACATAAAAAGATGAGAAAGCCTGCTGGAAAAGATTTAGTTGAAAGGGATCTATTGGCAGAAATCGAATATAAAATAATCCTAGTGATGTATTCTCTAGTGTGTTTCATCTAAATTGTATGAATTGTTGTTTTCTTTACCCTAGAATGGGACCTTTATCTTTAAATACTTTATATCCGCATCGGTAGCGATTCCTCTTTATGGAGGCTGCCATGTTTTTTACATTAGCCCAAACTGGACAAACGAAACACCTTTTGAATTGTTCTCACAACTGAAGGCTACCACAGGTTCTCTGTCATGTATTCAGCTGCAGTATGCAACTTAACCAATAGATGTCACTACATTCTACACGCTGAACCTTTAAGTGTTGGTTATTTTGCAATAGTGAGAGAAACGTCTGATGATCTCTGCATGTTCTTTTCCTTTGTCTCAATATTGCAGGTGTCCAAAGCAGCTGCAGACCTGATGGCGTACTGTGACGCGCACATACGTGAGGACCCCCTCATCGTGCCCGTCCCCGCCTCAGAGAACCCTTTCCGGGAGAAGAAGTTCTTCTGCACCATCCTCTGATGACCTGCGAGGGGCGCACAAGTGCAGGCATGGCGTTGCCTGGCTTCTCTGTCTTCACCACACCTGAAGCTACTGGCCACAGGCGTTGAGTTGAGTTTTGCCCCAGCGGACACTCTGTTGTTGGTCAGCTCTGTCCTGGTGGCTGAAGGTTTTGGGGGAGTCAGCTACCAAACTGGCAACCCGGCGAGCGTATCATGTCTTGTTAAATAGGTTTGTTATTGCTTTGTTATTAGAGAACAGCCTTGCTCAGTGCTTAATGAGATGAGAGATGTTTTTTTCCCTTCTTTTCTTTTATTGTGCTAGATCTTAACATGTCTCAGGAAACAGAAATTTGCCCAGTGTTTACTTCTTTTTAAACATTTAGTCCCTTTCTCCGATTCTGAATGAAAAAACATTAATCTTTGTATTAAATTGAACATCTGAACACATTAGCAGGAACGCCTACTGTACTGAAATGTGATTTCTGGTTTCTGTTTCAATTAGCCTCCAGAGTCACCAACAATTAACCTGCTCCTTTTAGTGCTGGAACAGAAACCTTATCTGGAACACTAATTGATTTCAGTTTGTGCGAACTGCGCTTGTGATAAGAAGCGGCTGCACGTCGCCTCTGCTGCAAATAAATAAACAGACCCTCTGCTTATTGAAAGGTGCAGAGCTAATGTTTCAACAGCGAGACGAGTTCTTCAGGGTTATCACTGTGCAAACAACCCTTAAGTCAAAAATTATTTATGAATCTGCCGCCTCCTTTCCCCAGGTCCGCTTTAATGCACTCCACCTTTACTGCTCTATTTGATTTACTCCTCATACGTTTCATCCACTTTAAATCAGAGACACTATCAGTCCATCCTTTTGCAGGATATCTTAACTTTCTCATTTGTTTGCTGGGCATGTTTCCTGAGCCTGATTCTCTTTGCCTGTCCTAGAGTGAATGGCACGGCCTTTGACATTATTGCCAAACCAAGAGGCCTGCATGTTTCTCTGCTCCTTTTTGACAGCCTCCTGTGTTTCCGAGAGACTGTCGGGTCTTTTAGAGTGTACAGTATGTTACAGTGCCAACTTCTGTGAGAGCAGCGTGATCCTCACACTGTGGTCACACAGCCTTCTTTTCTGTTTTTGTTTAGTTTTTGAACAAAAAGCACACTGTCGAAAAACGTTTCCTTTACCTGGTAGTTGAATAGCATTTGCTGATTTTTACGATGAATTGTTATGATCGTTATTAATATTGTTATTATCAGTAGTATTATTGAATATTTGTTGCATAGCACTTACAGCTACATGACGTGTAGTGCTAATGAGCTTGTATGATACTTAGGAAAGGAAACATTTATAAATCATGCAATTATTGATACTATCTGAGTATTTTTTAAAAACAACGCTAAGGGTCGGTTTACATTATATGATCCCTTCGGTGGTTTAGACTTTTGCATCATCGTTTCTGTAAAATTAAAATAAAATTCCTCTTGGTACTTGAACTAGCATTAGGAATCAAACTCGGATACTGGTCTATCACCAACTCAAACTATTGGACTCAAATTGTTTTCAGGAGAATTACTATTGTTATTATTTCCTGTGTGAACAACCTGAGACTGACCTCAGGACGCTCTCACTGACCTCATCGTAAGGATGGTGCCAATTCTGAAACAAGAAATATAACAGCTAGAGATGAATATTGCATGGATTTATTTCTATCTATAACAGAGAGAACTATTATGAAATGAAATATTGCCTCTTCATTGAATTTTCTGGGTGCTACTCTGCACAGAATAATCTCATTGGAGTGCGGATATGTCGTGCAGCTGTATTCATGAATGGTATTATTGTTTTGGGAAACAATAGCAATTAAATAGCAGGCTTTGTAAAATCCTACTTTGGATCAAATGAATTAAAGGAAAAGGGCAACCCAGATGTGCCGTGTCTTCACTATTTCTGCTTCATGTCTCTCCCTGATGTTTCCAGATAAAGTCTGACAGATCACACTGATAACATGAATAAAAGCCGCTGCAGATTGTCCGGCTCTCACAGAGGAACATGATATTCTGGTGCGTGCGACCTCCTGTGGCTGAGCTGAACCACAGGCCATCTGGATGCACTCTTCTTGTGTCGTGTGCATTTTTATTTTTTTGAGAATATGATTCAATTCAGCCTCTGCCAGTTTGCCTTCTACAGTGTCGCAGGGAAATAAGCAATACATCTGCTGACTCCGCAGGTCGCATGAATAATGTCCCTGATAATGATTCAGTATTCCAGCCATGCCTGCATTTATAGCCTCATCTGTGACAAGACTGAAATTACTATTTCACTAAACTGTAGGGCTGGTGATCACGTTGGTTTCAAAATTGCTTTTTTCTCAGAATAAGTCATACAAGGAAATCAGGTTGGAGAAATATTAAAAAACATCAGTAACTGAACAGATTGTACAGAACACTACAGACGCTGGTGGTGAACAACACTGATTTCTCTGAACTGAGCCAAAAGCAGCAGGATGTAATTAAAGAGAACTTTTAAGAGATAATATATAAAGGTGTTTATTTTCATCACTGTAAATTGAATTGTTGGTCCTGTACTTATGACTAATTTAGCTTCTAGCAACTTACTTGTGAAAACCAAGTATTACATTGTATTATGTCAATTTAATAATTTTTTACAATATATATCCAAGGATCACACATTGATGTACTTCAAAAACAACACCCTCAAAGCTTTTGTGGGTAAATAAATATAGAGGAGAGTATGAATCTTTGTTCCAAAAGCTAAGAGTAGAAATTCAATAAGTAAGACTGAATATTATTTGGTATGCACATGGTTCCCAGCTGGGACCTGGATGGATAAAAATAAATCTATATATACATAGAGAAAAGTACAGTGAGTGGAGAGTGTTTGGAACTGTGCAATGTGAAAGACAAAATGAAAAGAACTGCACACACATGGGTTTAAACAGTATAAATAGAACATAAATAGGTTTCCAGATAAAAAAGTTAAGTAAGTTGAAAGCATAAAAAAATAAGTTGGGATAGATAAGGGTTGACTATCTGCAGCAGAGCGAGATGTTGGGTTGTGTTTGAAGAAAGGAAAAGGCTATGAATAGCCTTTTCCTTTCAAATGAATAATGTGTTGCATAGAGAGAACTAAATCACTGTAATGAGTATATGATTATGACTCCAAAAGAATTATATAATGCACAGGAAAGTAATTATCCCTTAGGCAGTAGGTTATCTAATAGCACAGATCTGAGCTGGAGCAATTTTACAAATTGAGCAGCGATTCCCCCAAAGTGTATGCAAAAACACACTAGAAAACTAATAATTTCTGATAGATTATTTATCTACAGCCTCAGCAGGCTGTTCTGCAGCAGTTTCTTAATGATTTCCTCTCATAACATCAGCACACAATGCAGTTGCATGCCAGTGGTTTCCATTACTTTATCATTCCCCCCTAAAATGGGATGGTAAGGACTCTAAAATAACATTTATGCAACAATGGAACTCCATTAAAATCAATACAAATGAAATGTTTACGAGCGTGGCAGCTGGCTCTCTTGGTGGCGTGGCCCTCTCGTCCTCTCCTGGAGAACCACGGGTGCTCTCAGAGTCAGAAGAAATCGTCGTCAAGTGTCCCTCTCCATGCACAATAGATTCTGCTTAAATCATTCATGTGCAGCAGTGAGGACCTGCTTTAATATTCCCAAATCTTAAAGCTTATACACCTCACCTGGATCTTAGAGGGATGAAATTCACATGTTTGTTTTCAATTTTTGTTTCACTTGATTGGATAAGAACTCCTCATACTTATTTGTGTGATATACATGGGAAGGTCCACCATGTGACTTTTACCATCATATAAGAAGACAATGATATATTCTGTGTGCTATACCCTTCTGTTTAAGTAATATGGTGTGAGTGGACATAAAAGCGACATTATCTTGCAAAATTACAATAATTAATGAAATGTTAACGAATGCCTCTGCAGTAATGATACATGTGTGATAATGATGTGTATTTTATATTTACAGCTATCTGCTTTTATTAGCTTTCTTTGGTTTTTGACCAATGCAAAGCGTCTTTCAGGATTGTTAAAAGCGATACATTAATAAAGTATATTTACTACTACTGCTACCACCACC